TGACTACGACGACATCGTAGCAGCGCTACAAAAACACTTATGACCCAAGGCTATTGGAGGTCTACTGTCGAGCCCGCTTCCAACGGCGAGACCAACTGGAAGGCGAAAAAGTGGCCGAATACGTAGCGGCTCTCAAAAAGCTCGCTGCTGACTGCAATTTCGGGACGTTGACCACGACAGCTGCAGCTACTGCGCAGGAAGGAGGATCGACTGCCACACCTGCTAACACCACTATGCTCCCCTTGGACGTTATGTTGCGGGACCGTTTTGTGTGCGGACTGCGTGACGCAGGCCTACAACAACGCCTGTTCGCGGAGACGGGTCTCACCTTCTCCAAAGCCTACGACATCGCCCAACGAGCGGAGAGCGCCGGTCACCAGCAGAGGGATATTCGACGGAACGTCGAGCTGGTGCGTCACACCAGTCAGCAGTCAGGTCATTCCACGTCTAAGGCAAAATCAAGCAGAAAGACACAGCGCTGTTGGCGATGCGACGACATGCACGATCCCCAGGTATTTCGATACAAGACAGCGACCTGCAATTTTTGCCAGAAACTGGGACACATTGAAAAGGCATGCATCTCGAAGCGCAAACAGCTCGGACCGAAGACTTCAGTGCAACGGAACAACAATGTCGACGCACAGGAGGGCCAGACGCAAGATACAAGCCGAACAGCACTAACGTCATCGGCACTATATGACTTAAACACCGTTGTGAACCTCGGAACGAGACCGAAGATTACAACTGAATTTATGGTACACCAGCGCCCTATCAGGTTTGAGGTGGATTCCGGAGCAGCATGTACGCTCATCAGCGAGGACACTTTTCGCGCTACTTGGCGTGAGAACGCGCCAGCTCTCCAGCAAGACGACACGCAGCTGAGAACGTGGTCCGGACATTCCCTTCCACTGCTGGGCTGTGCCAATGTAGACGTGTACTACAACGGGCAGACCCATCAGCTCCCCTTGCTAGTCGTCCACGGTTCTGGATCAAGCCTTTTAGGACGAAATTGGTTCACCCCCCTTGGAGTGGTCATTGGCGGAGTTCACCACACACCTAGTTATCCGTCAGTGGAGCAGCTTCAAGATAAGTACAAAGCGGTTTTCTCCGAAGAAATACTAGGGAACAACGAACTCGTACATCGCACTGGGAAGAAACACCAGAACGCCGGCGCACTAAGCCGCCTGCCGCTAGACACCACAATAGATGAACCACCCCCGCCGGGTGATATACTCATGTTCGAGGCGCTGCCGAACCCTCCGCTAACAGCTGACACGGTAGCAGCATTAACGCAGGAGTGCACTGTCTTGAAGGAAGTCTACGCTGCTATACAAGAAGGCAACGTGCAGAAGCTAAAGGGGGAACACTTCAACGCTTACCGCAAGCGAGCTGCGGAGTTGAGCACTCATCGCGGTTGCGTCACCTTGGGATCAAGAGTTGTAATTCCAGCGGCACTTCGCGAACAGGCCATGTCGCTTGTCCACGCAGGTCATCGAGGCATTGTTGCCATGAAAAAGTGCGCCACAAGTTATATGTGGTGGCCTGGTATCGACCATGATATAGAATTAACAGTTCACGATTGCCAGCCTTGCCAAGGCAACCACAGAAGCCCGCCAAGAGCCCCTATTCCTGAATGGGAAAGACCAGACACGCCTTGGCACACCCTGCACATTGATTTTGCTGGACCTATCGAAGGGTGTTCGTTCCTGGTGGTTGTAGACGCATACACCAAGTGGCTGGAGGTAAAACAAATGGCTACAACGACATCGGCAGCAGTTATCGACACTCTGCGGTCGTTGTTTGCAACGTTTGGCCTACCGCGCAAGGTGGTCTCGGACAACGGCACTCTGTTTGTGTCCACGGAGATTCTCAAGTTTTACAGCGACAACGGCGTCTCGTTTGTTACATCGGCTCCTTACCACCCGGCTACGAATGGACAAGTCGAGCGCTACGTGGCTGAGCTAAAGCGCGCCCTTACTAAAGACCAGACTGGGACAATGCAACGCCGCATCGCGCGCTTTCTCTTCAGACAGCACAACACTGTTCAAAGTACTACTGATCAAACGCCAGCGAAATTGATGTTCGGACGAGAAATGAGAACCCAGCTGACAGCAATTGTCCCGGAGCCCTGAGCGAAAGCACCGTCGGAGGAAGAAAAGCTCCCGCATAGCAGGAGAATTGAAAGTGGACAGCGCATATACGCCCGCCAGTTCCACAGAAAGCCCGGCTGGGTTGAAGCGACGGCACTCAAACGCATAGGTTTGCGGTCATGGCTCGTCGACATTGGTGGAAGGGCCACACGCCGCCACCTTAATCAGCTACGCCGTTTAGGTAATTTGCCAAGGGAACCTCCCATTCAAGCAGCCACCTCGACGGAAGCTTCGTTCCACTTAGCCTGGCATCTCGCACCAGATGAATCGGCGCCGCCGCCCGTCCCGCCGTCCACCGGCCCTGAACACAAGAGAAACGACACCCAGCGAGCGGAGGCTTCTCTTTCTAGTGCGCCCACGCGCCCACGGCGGCCCCCAGATCGCTTCCAAGCGACAAGCTAAGGACGGAGGAGATGTTGTGTTCCAAGCACCCCTGTGTGCTTGGACCCGCGCTCCGAACCCGCGAAGGACCGGTTGCTGAAACTGCTTCCAGATGTTGACTCCTCCCCTTCCCCCGCTCGGCGAAAACGAGCCACCGTCGTTTCCCCCAGCAGTTCGGCCGCCGCCTCCATCCGAATAGGAATAAACTTGTTTTTAACCGTTCGAGGCTGTCTGAGCTTTTTGGACTACTGCGACCAACGCGTACGTCTATGGGCTGACGACAACACCGGACATAACAATGAGCGAGTGCGCTAGTTCGGTCTGCGACATCAACAACTCAATCTGGACAAGCCGGAAAACATTGCTGTATCATACGACTGATCGCGGATAACGCACGCACATTTGTCGCTCGTACGCGTCACTGAACTGATAAGTGGCCTAGTCGGCAGATGAGCCCAAGGCGACCGCATCAGTTCGCAAGTGTGCCTCTGCGAAAAACATTCAGTGGGCATTAAAAAAAAACGTCATTTAGGGGATGCAATACAGAAGGACTACATGCCTAGTGCCTACTGAGAAAGCTGAATTTGCAGATCATTGTAAATACACAGCTTTTCCATGCTACTGACCGCCCAATATGGACTTGTGTTTTTGCATAGTTTCTCAGGACTCAAATTTTGCTGCAGTAGCAAACTTGTCTAAAAGATATCTCTACCTCTAGAGCAGCTAGGACTGTCATTTTCGTTGTGACATGTAGCTGTATCTTTAGTTTACACAATGGTTTGTGTGAATTTTTGATTGAGACCTTCGAAAATTTTATTTTTTACTGGAAATCGGAGCGTAAAGTGGGTGTGTCTGCTACACTGAAATGCAAGGCGTGACAAACCTTCCTAAAATTATCAAATCAAAAAAGCACTCCTTCTGTTGTGTGGCTTACGTTCATTAGTAAACAGGCATATACCAATAGTAGCTATGCAATACAAATTTCTTGTGTCACCATACCGATGAACAATAAGTAATTAATTTTAGTATATCTCAAAAACTAGTTGGTTTAGAGGAAAAATAATTACATTTTTGAAATCAGCATCAAAAACTCAGTCACACTGTGAATTTTTTTATAAACACATGAAAATATGTGGCCTTTTTTCTCAAGTAGAGTGTCTCACCTTAATCGATGAATCTTACTGCGCAACACATAAAAATCCAGCCATATGAGCCTGTTTAGTTCTGTTAAGGAGGCATTTTCGTTTAAGCGAGATTTGTTTCTTGGAAGTCCACTGTGTTCTGGTTGCTTACAAAAAGGAGCAAAAGTTCAAAAAAGCATGTTTTCAGTTAATCGCATATAAAATAAAAATCTGCATTATATCCAAAGTACACTAAGATAACAGCGAATTCAAGAACCTGTTCAATAGGCACCAGCCATATACTCGTCATCAATATTATTTTTTTTCTTTTTGTATTCAAAAGTCTTGCCTAGCGAGCCTCATTTGTCGCTTGCTGTGCAGCTGTGTCAGCACAGTACTGTCGACGCAGTTGAAGGGTGCGTAGGTCCTGCACCTTCGGGTGCCGTGCCAAAATTCTAGAATAGTTCAGCACATTCACACGGGCTATATTAGCACCATTAAAAGTGAACACAGCATCAAGAGTGCATATTCACACTGTTTAATTCCTGATAAAAACGTTTCCTTGGAGCGTGCTCGCACAATGAATCGTTATGGTTTGGACTTTTTCTATGGAGGCATTTAGCAAGTAATTCTGAATGAGCTAGTTTCAGATAATATGGCTTAAGAGTCTCAATAACAGATGGTTGAAGGTGTTCTTGATGAGCGAATGGTTCACCATTCAAACGGGTTTTGTTGAATTTACACCAAGTTTTGGCGTTCCTCGAGCAAAGGCAGTGGGATTTGTTGGTGTCTTTTGATGCCATGTGAAAATATCTGCACCGGACAGCTTTTCCCTTGTCCTAGAAGCTTGCTTTATTTTTTTAATGGCCCAATGATTATAGTTTTCACCAATGATGAAACCACCTAGACGTCACCGACCAGATATAGATTTCACGATAGAGAGCTTGATGCCTCTGCTTTCTTTCATTTTGACAGTTCTGAGCTCATTCTTTTCTAAATGTATTGTATGCACTCCAGCTTGCAATTTGTAACTTCTCAATGTGACTGTGATGCTTGAACTGCAAGGAATCTCTTGCTACGTAAGAATGAGAGCATGGCAGGGTGCCACACAAGTTTCGAGATGTCATTTTCAGAGAAAAAAAAAAAAAGAAAAAATTTTTCTAGGAGAAACGCCTGATTCTGGTTCAGAAGAGGCTGCATATTTCAAATAACGTAAAAAAAATTCATTTTTTTTTTTTCAATTGCTTTGCTTACCCTGTCCTCTTAAATACGGTCATTGGGGCAGCAGAAAAGACGGGAGACAAAGTGGAATTATTGTGGTTATTGCAAGTGGTAGCGTTTGTTGCAGGCTCTACCCGTGTGTGCTCTTCTACAAGGGCTGGGCAGGCGACGAAGATGGGGTTTGCGTGGATGCTCGTATTTACGGCAACGAGGCACGCTTTGTGCGCCGTTCGTGCCGTCCTACTGCACGGGTGGTGCACACCCTCCAGGGTGGGCTGCTGCAGCTCTACTTGGTGGCCGACCGAGACTTGGCGCCCGGGGAGGAGATCACCATTCCCTTTGACTTTGACTACCGGCACTGGTGAGTGTGATATCCTATTTACACTGGCAAATTATTTAGTGTCATTTTGAGCAAGAACACTTATGCCCTGGAATGGCACTTCAACAGTGCGCTGCGGCACGAGGAGGAAAAGAGTGCTGGGGGTATGGGCACATCAGTACCACATTGGGATTTGTTATTTAAGGAAATGATTTCTAATAATGATTTACTACAGCTATCAGTGGCCCTCAGAGTAATCTTTTTGTACAGACGCAATGGTCGTGCTCATTGTACGGCTTGCACTTGGCGGTTGTGGCTGTAAACTGCCCGAGAGTGAGAATGGTGATGTTTTAGTGCATAATAATATCCCTATTGGTGGATATTATACTCTAAAGAATGCTATGAACTCTGCTTTGAATAACAAATAACTTGATTTCTTCTACTAAACGATATCGCAGTAGGTCATTAACTGATGAGACTGTGTTGGGCCCTTGGCCAGACACGAACAGTGCAATTGGGGTCATAAGAGCAGGTTATAACCTTTTTGGAAGCAGCTGGACTATATGCGCAGCTATAAAGTTTGTCTACTCTAGAAAGAATACTACATACTCGCCTCTCTATCTCACCATCGTCATCCATTAATCTTTCTTTTCCCCTTTCCCCTCGCACAGTGTAGAGTAGCAGGCTAGAGCAAGCTACGCTCAGGCCGACCTCTCTGCTTTTCTGTAAATAAACCTATCTCTCTCTCTCTCTCTATTCTTCAGCCATTGCTATCAAGACTATGTAGTGAGTTGGGCGATTACTCAACATTTTCTTGTGGCATCATGTGAAAGACACCAGCGGGGAAGTGCACTTCCTAAGTGTGCACTTAAGTTTCCCATTGTGACAGGGGTATAATCTCGTGGCACGGAACTAAATAACTTTCAGCAGATTCTGCTCATCTTGTTCTCACCTTCTAGAAAATGTACCAGTTACAGTGAAACCTCGTTAAACCGTACCCACATAAACAGTAGTTTCGTTTTAAAAGTAGTAAAGTCAAATCCCTGACTCAGTGGCCATTGAACATAATGCATTTTGTATCCGCATAAACCGTACCAGCTTATCGCTTATGTACAGTCGAGCCCGACTACATCGAACCTGTTTATATCAAATTATCCTGCATATCGAACAATTCCTAAACACGTTAAGTTTACATTCAGAATATATAGAAAAAGTTACGGTTTTATCGCACTAAAATAGCAACGACAACTGATATATCAAACTCCGTATGCCTCAAAAGTGTCCCAGCAAGTTGGCTTTCTCTCGCGGTGGCGGGGAAAACTGCCGGCACCACCCTAGAAAAAGTTGGTTAGACCCGATTGTGCGCAGGGCGAACACCCCCCTCCAAGAAATGATCCTGGCCTGCTCGCAGCGCTTACAGCCAATCAGAGGCCGTCGTGCTTTGTCCGAGGCGCGGAGGCGGTAGAAGTGAGCGCCACTTCTTCTTTCTTTATGCTTGTGTGCCTGCTGCTGCCGATTCAGCGTGGTCTGTGGTGTTGCCTGTTGATGCTCTGTGAACTGTATTGGCGCGCTGTCATCATGACTTGCGCAAAGAGGCTAAAATTTGCCGTTCGCCGCGAAACTCGAAGTCATCCATCGGGTTGAGCGCGGTGAAAAGAAGTCAGACGTCGCCGCCGCGTACAAAATTCCAAGGAGCACGTTGAGTACTATCCTGAAAAACAAGGCAGACAACAGGCCAAGTCGGACAAAAGGCCAGGTGCCCGTGGCGCCCGACGTGTGCGCGCTGCTGTGTACGAATATGTTGAAGCGGCCGTTTACAAGTACCGTATTTACTCGATTCTACCGCGCCCTCGATTGTAACGCGCGCGCGATTTCCACGACGAAAAAAAAACACAACTAAGGCATCGATTGCAACGCACACCCATTTTTCTCGTTGGCCCGCACGATCACACCACTCGGGAAAACGACTCCTTTCGAGAGCGTCTTCCGTTTCAATATGAGGTACGGGGGAAGCTTGTGCCTATCTGACGTGCAACGGAGCATTGCCGTCACTGTAGTTTTATCGTGGGCCGATGTCAGCACGGGAACTTGCTACGCCCCCTTCTTCTCGCGATGTCAGAACGGGACCTTGCTACGCCCCCTTCTTCTCGACGGTGCCAGGCATGTCGAATTAAAGAGGGGTCTGATCGGCATTCCCGATTTGCCCAAGCAGGTAGCCTGTTGTGCCGCAAGTTTAGGACGAACCTCTGAAAATTGTGAAGCTTTTCATCGTACTCCTCCGCAAAACTTTTCAGCATATGCATGTTCCCCTTCAGGAGGGAAAAGCCTTTCCTCTTCATAAAGTTAGTTAGCCAGCACCTGCTCGCTTTAAACTGGCTCCGCATTAGCCCTTTTTCTAAGGCTAACTGCATAGCCTGCACTTGGAGCAGTTCTGTTGTCACGGGCCGCTGTGCCGCTCACTGCTTAATCACATACTCGCCGAGCAGCTCTTCAATTTGTGGAAACCGACCCTGCTGTGCTTCACTGAAGCCTTTGCGTGAATCTTTGCTGTCGACAATATTCTGCTTTTGTTTCCGCCAGTCCCGCACGCACGTTTCGGGATCTCCGAACGACCGCGATGCGGCCAGATTTCCGTCCGTTTCGGCACACGCGATGACTTTTCTTTTAAAAGTGGCATTGTGGTGCACTCGTCGAGTTTTTGGAGTCGGCCCTACCATGCTGTCGATGCTAATGCACTACAAGATGACGAACTCCTCAGTACACGTACGAAGTGCCACACATGGGAAACACATAGGCAGAAATGGCCGACGCGCCATGCCGATGCACGTAGGGGGCGGCCATTTTGGAAGTGCCGATGACAATAGAATGACCGTATTCATTTTTTTTTTCGTACTCGATTCTAACGCGCATGCAATTTATGAACTCGCTTAACCGGAAAAAAGGTGCACGTTAGATTCAAGTAATTACGGTAGTTTGTGGACGTTTTGTTGTGAAACATTCCGGTGTCCGGCCCTATGATCGAGCAGAAAGCGAAGCACCTTGCTTTTCTGCTTGGCAGGAATGATTTCCAAGGCGGTTCAGGCTGGCTTCAGCGGTTCAAAGAATGGCGCGACATCATTGTCAAAGCTGTTACAGGTGAAAGCAGAGCGGCAGACTTGGACAGCGTAGAAAAATGGCTCGAGGAAAACTGGCAAGATATTGCAGCGAGATATAGAGCCAAAGATATCTTCAATGCGGATGAAACCGCTCTATTTTGGCAAATGTTGCCAAACAAGACACTTGCGTGTCGTGGCGACAGTTAAGCGGCGGCAAGGCAAACAAAGCTCTTGTGTCCGTGCTGTTGGCAGCTAATTTAGACGGATCGAAAAAGCTTCGACCTCTGGTTATCGGGAAAAGCACGGCACCGCGGTGTTTTCGAAATGCGCTGTCGCTTCCAGTTACCTACCGAGCAAACTCAAAAGCGTGGATGACCGGGGATCTTATCAGCAGATGGCTATCTTCGTGGAAGGATGATTTGGTCGGCGAAAATCGGAAGGTGTGCCTGCTCGGGGACAATTGTTCATCGCACCTACTGCATACGACCTTCAGCAACAACGAGCTGCATTTTTTGCCCCCGAACACTACATCTGTACTGCAACCACTGGATCAAGGCGTTATATGCGCAATGAAAGCCGGCTATCGGAAGCGCCTGGTCGAGAGGCGGCTGCAGAACCTTCGTGTCGGCAGGGAGCTTAAGATCGACTTGCTAGGAGCTATTTCTATGTTGAGTAGATCGTGGGCAGATGTCAAGAAGGAGACGATCCAGAACTGCTTTAGGCATGCCGGCTTCCGCATGCCTGGTGATGACACCCCAAATTCTCACAGCACTGCAAACACCGCAGGTGTTTCTGCCGAAGTTTGGAACGAGCGGGCAGAGTTTCCGGGTGCTATCGACGGATCGACATTCGACGAGTTCGTCAGTGCGGACGATGATGTCCCCATAACAGGATGAGGATTACATTGCAGACGTCGTGCCGACCACGAGCCAAAGCGACAGCAATATGGAAATCGACGATGGCCCATTGCCTACATCCTCTGAAGTGATTAGTGCATTTGCGTTAGTCCGGCGCTATTGCTTGAATGTGGAAGGTTGCGGCCTCAGGCTGCTCCGACTCGTTGGACAACGTGGAGGCGTGCGTGCTGTCGCAGGCAGCGAAGTCGTTGACACAGAAAAAAATCCGGGACTATTTTGTTCCACAGTAGGGCATGCAAGTAAGCCACCATATTAATAAAGTACTTTTCTTCTAGATTGTTATGTGCCTTTGTGTCAAAACCTATACCGTGCCTATATCGAATTAAGCCATATATCGAACTAATAAATGTTTTTTGGCGAGTTCGATATACCCGGGTTCGACTGTATTGGTTAATAAGTAGTTTTTCCCATTTTCGTTGCGCACTCGCCGTGGCACGTTGTCCCCCACTGGGTGTCCCGACAGAACAGCAAGCCCCAGCGATCGAAACACGCCTCGCTTGTTTGTCTTGATGATTATGGCAGCTGTGTTGATGAGCGCCACCTTTTGGATTTTTTCCCAACAGGAAGTACGTGGCCTCCGAAACTGGAAGTTCAGCACCTGGTCGGCACTCGGCCTGCCAAGTTTCTGGTGTTGTGCATGCGATGGCGCTTTGGTGTTGTGCATGCGATGGTGTTGTGCATGCGATGGCGTGCATGCGAACGCGCAAACACGGTGTGCGCTTGCTTTGCTTTCTTTGTTCCTTTGGGGCCATGCATACGTATTCACTCGTTGTTCCGTGCTGTACGCAAGAGCTGCAGGAGCGTCACTTTTCACGTGTTTTGTATGTGTGCTTGTGCGGCTTTATACTTGCGTCATGCCGAAGCTGGGACAAAAGCATCAAGTGCTGAAAATAGAGGATAATTTGGACATAATTCGTGCTATTTAAATCTTGGCTGAACAGCACACACGGGACGAGGACGGAAGAAAGGAACAAAAAAAAGAACATAGATAAGTGCGAACATTGATCGTGTTCTTTTCTTCCGTCCTTGTCCTTTGTGCACTGTTCAGCCAAGATGAACCCTTACCAACTCGCTCAAGCTTCCATTATTATGTGCTGTTGAACGTGGTACGAAAAAATCGGCGTTGGCACGCGAAATGGACCTGCTGTTAACCACGGTGTGTAGAATTTAGAATTTGAGAGAGAAGTTGTTCGGCAGTGCTGCTGCAACTGCGAAAAGGTGCCGGCTACATGGTTCGTCATTTTCGGATGTAGTGGAGGGGCTTGTCAAGTGGCTAAAAGCTGCACCAGGTCGAAAAATCAGCCTATCAGCAGATCCCTGTTAAGGGAGAAGACCCTGGTTTTTGCCTCGCAGCTCAACTATGACAACTTTGCCTGCAGCAATGGCTGGCTGGCCAGATTTAAGGCGAGGCATGGCATTACCGCAAGGAGTGTTTTGGGAGAAGGCACTCCTGCTGGCGTGAATGGCACGGAGAAGTGGCAAAATGGCCAGCTGAAGAACATCTTCGAAGACTACACACCTGATGACATCTTTAGTGCCGAATAGTGCCGAATGAATCGGCACTATTCTTTAAGCTGCTACCAGACAAAACGCTCGCCTTTAAAGGCGAGACGTGCACCGGCGGTAAGCATGCAAAAGACAGAATATCATTGGCGTTGTGCGTAAACATGATTGGAATAGACAAAACTCCGTTTCTCGTGATTGGAAAGTCGGCGAAGTCAAGATGTTTCAAAGGTGCCCGATTGCCATCAGGGGTCATCTATCGCAGCAATACCAAGGCATGAATGACTGAAAAACTTTTTGAAGAGTACGTGTTTCATTGATCGTCGTTTTGCGGCTAAGAACAGAGGAGTAGTTATTATTTTAGATAACGCTTCGGCGCACGTCGCCCTGGACAACCTGACGGCTGTGAAGTTGGCGTTTCTACCACCAAACACAACAGCGATTGCGCAGCCTTTGGACCAAGGTGTCATTCGAGCTGTAAAACAGCTGCGCAGATTTTTTTTTCATCATTTAATGCGGCAAATTATTCTCCATCGACCTTATTGGCGCGATTAACCTGCTCGAATACTCGTTAAGGCAGGTTGAAGCAACGACAGTTCAAATTTGATTCAAGCGTGCTGGCTTCAGTGTGTATGCGGGCGACGCAGGTGACGCTAGTGACACCATCAACCAGACTTCCAACATTATAGACCAAGCTTGCGAAACTCTGCTAGCTGAAGTGCTGGAGCGGCAGGGCGTTACGAAAGGCATTTCCTTCCCCGAATTCAGAGACGCAGACAGCGATGTGCAGACATCTCCTGACATGTTCGACAAAGCTATTGTTGCCTCTGTTCGAAGTGTTGCCAAATGATAGCGATGAGGACAACATAAAAAGCGACAACACGGGTGACCCAGGTCCGACAGTGGCTGAAGCTGCACATTGCATCAGCGTCATGCGCATGTTTGCCGAAAAGAGGGGGCTGGAGGGAAAGCTGGCTCGCAGCATAAGTGAGTTTGAGGCTGCAATCATTGCTGCTAGGTCGCTGCATCGTCAAATGAAGATTACAGACTTTGTCACGCGAAGTTAATAAATTGCTGCACGTTTTTTTGTTTTTTCATCGCACTCCCTCGAGGTTTCTTTTTTTCACAGGTAAGTGGGCGACCTGGCGCAATTTCGGTTAAGCAGTACTACCGTTTAGTACTTACTTTTCCCGAGCTCCTAACAACTATGGTTTAACGAGGTTTCACTGTACCTGTAAATGATATACTATGTGCAAAAGCACATATAATTGATTATAATCATTATAATCGCATGCCAGCAGTACTATGTGTTTGGCCAGTACCTCACTGGTGCATTGGGGTTGAGTTCCGAAGCCAACACATGTGCAATTGCATCATTGCCAAAAGGTTTATTCCCCCGATGAGACAGAAACATTTAGGATTTGTGTTCTGCACTCACGTGGTCCATTCGTTTAAAGCCAGAGGCTATCACTTATACAGGCCACTCAAGTTTATGTCTAGAGCGTGAATGCTAAAAGGGCGAATTAAGCGAGTCGGTTATTCATGGTACTTGAAATACAAATGTGTTAACAAAAACAGGGACTTGAGTAGACAAGGACAAGTGCTTGTCCTTGTCTATTATTGTACCTGTTTTTGTTAACATGCTCGTATTTCAAGCTAAGGCTAAGTTTGTGTTAAGCTCTCTTATATGAGTTTGTGTCACGGCGATAAGAGCAGTGTAACATCGGTGAATGGAAGCAACAAGTAGGACTGCTGTACATGTTCTCCTCGGGGGTGCTTCAATCATCATTCTATCCTTGCGGTTCCAAAAAACTGTCGTTTTTTCAGGTTTGCAGCAAAGTTGTGATTGGCTGTTTTTGGCAGAAGTCACCCTTTAAGCTACTAGTTTCTCAATCTGACAAGCCAACATCTCCAATTGCTTTCAGCAATCCAAACATCTCTGAATGTTAGAACCAGCGGGTTTTGCTGTATTGTGGCCAGCCAGATGACAATGAAGGTGGTTCCTCTGTGCAGCATCCATCGTGTGACCTGTGCGTGTGGTCAGGACGACTGCAGGCTTCACCAGAGGAAGACTGGCTCTGCTACATCGCTGTAAGCATTTTTCTAAAATTTTAACAATGTTGTGTGCCAGTGTGCCAAAAAAGCATCGCTGTAGGGAGGCCACATGAAAGAAAAACAGAACTACCGTATTTACTCGCATAATGATGCACTTTTTTTTTTTCAGAAAATCCGGCTCGAAGTTAGAAGTGCGCCAATTACGCGGGGTAAAATTTTCGAAAATTTTTTCAACTCGGTTCTCGCGCTTTAAATCTGCATACTTGTCAAGTAAAAGGCGACTTTATCTATCGTTTACCAATTAATTCAGCATAGAACAAACATACCTACGTAACTTTTAATGAACAAGCGAGAGCCGTCAACTGCGCACACACACATAAAATTTATTTACACAAAAGTCGTAGCTGTTCCTCCTTTTCTCTATTCGGAGTCCGAGTCGGAGATCACACATTCATCCTCGCCGAGCGGGGATTCGTTTTCGGTGTCCGAATCATCCGCACCCCACAACATGTCATCCTCACTCGCATCCAGTGCGTTCGAGATACCCGTCTTCTTGAAGCTTTTCCTGACGACTTCGTCGGAGATTGCCTGCCACGCTTCCACGATCCAAGCGCACAGCATTTCCACAGGCGGCCTCTTAATCTTACCACCTGGAGTCAGCTGATGTTGTCCTCCAGCCATCCAGGTGGTGTACAGCCTTCGAATATTGTCCTTGAAAGGTTTATTCAAGGACACGTCCAAAGGCTGCAGTATCGATGTGAAGCCGCCCGGAATCACTGCCAGATCTGTGCGCAGCTCCTTTAGCTCATCTCGTACGCGGTCTACTAGGTGCCCACGAAAACTGTCCAGGACAAGCATGGACGGCAACAACAGACCACCCGGCCGCCGACCCCAGACTGTTTTCACCCAATCCACCATGAGTTCCGCGCTCATCCAGCCTTTTTCCTGGACTCTGACGTAGATGCCTTGAGGGAATTTTGCCTTTGGAAGCGTCTTACGTTTAAAAATAACGTAAGGCGGTAGCTTACGCCCATCCGCTGTCACCGCCAGCATTACGGTGCATCGTTGTTTATCAGGGCCAGACGTTCTGACGATGACACTCCGTGCACCTTTCTCCACCACTGTCGTGTTCCACGGCATATCAAAGCAAAGGGGGGTCTGATCGGCGTTGCCGATCTGGGACAAAATGAAGTCTTTCTGCTGTCGGAGCTTTATAACAAAACTGTGGAAGTCCACCACTTTGTCCTCATATGCTGCGGGCAAGCGCTGGCACAAGGTGGTCCGCCTTCGCAGTGCGAGGCCATGGCGCCGCATGAAACGAGTTGTCCATCCGGAGCTGGCTTTGAACTCTTTTGCTTCGATGCCCTGTGCTCGGGCTATTCTGCGCGCCTCAGTCTGCACAATATCCAACGACATAGCACAGCCGTCTTGTTGTCGTAGCTCCCGTATATGCCGGACCAGTTGCTCTTCGACGTTCGGATACCTGCCGGTCTTGGCACCGCGGAAAGCCCGTCGTGTCTTCTTCGTCGCCTTAAGTTTTTTTTCTTGGTCCCTCCAGTACCGAATACTGGTTTCTCCAACGCCGAAATGCCTGCTTGCAGCCCGGTTGCCGTGCTCCAGTGTGTACTGCACTGCCTTCAGTTTAAACCCAGCCGTGTAGCTCGCGTACTTCCCCATAGTGGAACCAAAGTTCAATACACGACCACAACATACGCACACCGCTTGCAAAATGGCGTTTCTTTCTTTTTCTCTGATGGTGGTGATGGCGATCGAGCCCCCGGCGTTGTACACGTGACCTCCAAAAAGCGCGGCGATTTGGGGGCTATCAGTAATTGATGGAACAGCCGTTTTTTTTTTTTTTCGCTCATGGATGCTTTTTTTTTTTTTTCAAGTTTTATTTCGACAAACACGTTGGTTAGGTTGCACTTCGAATTTTTTTTATTTGCTCGTCGATTTGCCTTCTTTTTTTCTTCAGGGTACGGGGACCGCGTTCCAACTGTACCGCTGGGGGGTAGAATCGTTTCTGATCACGGCCAAGTTCGGGGTGCGCCTATTATGCGCGGAATTAAAAAAAAATCGAATTTTCCGCGACCAAACTAGGGGTGCGCCTATTATGCGAGTGCGCCGATTATGCGAGTAAATACGGTACTTGTTCAGTAACATTGAACGTTAAGCTAGTTTGTGATAGCTTATGTTTACTTGTGTAGCACCGCACGAAGACAAGGCTGAAAAGGTCTGAAAAAATAGACAATTTTTGCACTCTCAGCTACTGTTAAAACTGGAATTATAGGTCGAGCCTCCCCTCCCCAACTTTGAATCTCAAAAAAAAAAATAATAAAAATTGCACCCTTACCTTGATAAATACTTGACACAATCAGCTGCACTGTGGGGATGTTTCTTTCCATTTCGACACTAATCCTATGTACAGTCGAATCTTGATAATTCGAACGAACTCGAAGGGGCCCGAAAATTTGTTCGAATTAATGAGAGTTAAATTAACGGAGGGCTCCCCATGCAGTGGCGCATGTGCACTGAGCTAACACACGAGGGGGAAGATTCAGAAGACTTACATTTATTCAGAAATTGCAGGACATCCTTTATTAATTGAAGTAATCGGTGATGCGCGCCTGCACACGTTTGCCTTGCAGCGAGTCAATCAATTTCGCACAGAACTTGCAAAGCATTTCTATTTCGGGTTCAGCATTCTCTTGGCAAGAGAAGTTGCGTGCGGCAATGTCCAGCGCCGCCACTCTCTAAAGATGACGACAACAACGACCGCGTCTCCGCTACGCAGCCGCAGCGTAGCCAGCACGTGATGAGAAAGGAGGGGCGCCTACACACGGAGAGAACAAAAACTCTGCAGCAGCTTCTTCAGTATCTTTTTTTTTTTTGCTCTTTTTGCGCGCAGCATTGAAAGGACAAGAGTCTCTATGTGGCAGGGACTGAAAAGGAAGAAGCGTGGCACAGGCATGTCCCAGATCGGCATTTGAGAGAGAGAGCGACAATTCCGTTGCAGCCTTTTCTTTTCTTCTTTTCGTCCTTTGCGCGCAGCATTGAGGTGTCAGAGGTTCCGCCGCAGGATAGGGCGTCGTGCTGAGAGTACTTTCGGAGCGCGGTATGTTCGAATTAACCATCGCAATAGCTTGCGCGTTCGAATTACCGGGCGTTTTCGCCCATTGGAATACACATAGCTTTGACGCGACCACAGCGTCACTTCTAATTAACCGGAATTTTGAATCTTGTGTTCCAAAAATTACTTGTACCAGTCAAAGATCAGGTCTAAGCCGTTGTGAAATGTCCTTTTTGTAAGATCACCGATAACTTTTCAAACTTGAACATCATTGTCACTCGTGGTACGCTATCATGTTGTATATTATCACATGCTACAAAAGGTTTTCAACTAGAACTAACTGAGCCTGCGGGAAGATGCACACAAGACTGGCAAGGTGGCTGTCCAAACAACAACTAGTGAGAGAACGCGCTGTCCCAGAAAATCGTTTATTCCAGTGGGCTGTTGGAATAGTGTCTTTGTTCCAGTGTCTTTGTGCCTTGTGTGCAAGTAACATTATTCTCCCTGTGAAAAAAAGACTTGCATTGGTTCGATGTTCCAAAAGGAAATAAGCAAAGTATGGAAAACCCGCGTAAAGTACGCACATTTTTGCGCCGAGCTGCGCAAAGCTATGAAATTTAGTGAAATTGCACCACGCTGGGCCAAAATACCTGACCAGCTTTAAGATTTTTTTCTGTTGCACCAATATTTGCGAGAAATAGAGGCCACATTAGTCAACTGTAGTTCGCATTGTAGGGGTGCTGACACCTCTGTAAAGTTGTTTGCGCTGCGTGGCGCACATGTTTCGCACAGAAGCCGTATTTCAAGTGTGACAACCGCCGGCGATAGATAGTGTTGTGTTCGGGTTGAGTACCTTTATTGGTAGAGTGGTAGCACTGGTGGTGACCTCTGGCGGAGACAAGCCTTGGTGGTCGGCGAGAGTTGAGGGGTCTCTTCTGCGCGTGGCGGTTGCCGCGAACGGTTGTCTCTCGCGGTGGGTCTGCCGTGGACGGCACCGCGGGCCGCCTGCGGTGGACCCGCGTGGCGAGTGAAGCGTTAGGAACGTTGCCTTTTGTGTGCTCTTGTGTTATGTAGTTTGAGTGTATGGTAATTTTGTGTAATGATGGCTTAGCGTTGTAAGGACATCCATTGGTAGTGATGGGGGTATGTGACGCCCCCTGGGCGTGGTGGCAACAGTGTACATCCGGCCTGTGTGCGGGGACGGTGTTGTGGTTAGACGTGAGTGGTGGGTGTGTGAGGCCTAACGAACACGAACGAGCATGACAAGTGAGGGCTCGTCCGGGATTGGCCCGACTGAAATTCCCGATGAATTCGTACAGTTTATGCTGCGTCAGACAAATGGATCGGCTATCGAACGCGAGCGCATAGCATCTGAGCTGCGGCAGGCATCAATGGCCGCTCCCGTGGTTCCCGGAGGCAACGAGCGCCGACTGGCCTTTGTTGGACCGCCGGCTACACAAATGTCGGCGACGGTGATAGCGCCTATTGCGACCACGTTGCCTAGGTTCGCGGGCTTCCAGGATGTGCAACACCCGGAGGAATTCCTCATCAAAGCGGACAATTTTTGCCTGATTAACGGCATAGCTCTGGAAGACCGAGTTCGCCGCATCGTTACCGCGGCGCATGACGGCAGCCCGAAATTGTGGCATCGTTTCGCGGGTCCCTTCGCTACGTGGGATGCCTTTGTCACCGCTTTTTGACGGGAATTCGCGTCGGCCGACGAAAAGAAGCGCCTGAAGGAAGAGTTAGAGGCACCCACTCAGCACCCGGAGGAGAACTTGAAAGAATTTATTTATGTTATTTTCGAGTTCTACGACCGAGGAGGTTGCCGACGACGTCAAGGTCGACAGAGTGCTGCGCCAAATGCACCCTCAGCTGCAAGACTTGGTAGCGGGGTCCACCTTCTCAAGCTTGAAGGCCCTGGCGGATGTGGCCGATGGCCTGATGGAGCGAGTGCGACGCCGGC